TTTTCTTCTTTATATATTACATTTTATAAATTATTTTCAGCGAGGTACTAGTAGCTCTAATGAGAAAAGTAAATGAATATTTTAAATTTGTTTTAAAATAATCTAGATACTTAAAGAGAAGCCCGTAATCTACTATCTATACTGACAAGTGCTAGTAGAATTGCACAGTCAAAAATACAAGTATAGGAACGTATTTGCCATCAAACTGGCATCCCAATAATAAATGTCTGTAAATACTCTAATACTGACTATACTTTTAAACATAATTTCACAAAGTATTTTATCTGTTGTCACAATAAAAAAATCAGATAGCTTTATCTCATAAATTTATATTAAATTTTTCTCTGATTAATAAAAGAATAAATATAAAACAATGAAAGGAATTTGCTTTTAATCTTGAAATTTGAGTGCTTTTTTTTTAAATCAGGTATATTTTCTTTAAGAATTACATTGTCCATGAGACTCACCAATGGAAGATATCAGCATGCATCCTGGGTCTTTGCTACCAGACAGTCTGTTATATCAGCACTCACAGGATTCTGGTGCAGATGGTCCAACAGACCATAGAAGATTGTTTATTTTCCTTTTTTATTTCACAGTCAGATCTGTGGTCACCTTTAGTCCATTTTCCTAATTTAACACATTTTCTGTGGTTTTCGAGGTACAGTGCATGCATCCCCAGCAGGTGTACTGTACAACCCACTAGCACTAAGGTGAGGGGAGAAAAGTTAGAACTTCTGTGCATATTTTTATCTCATTTCCTTAATTTCTACTTTTGTATGTTTAGTAATGTGCATAATTATTGTTACAGTAGTATAATAAATATAAACATAAACATTTTTTAAAGGTAACCATTACATAGCCTGTAAACTAGTTTAACATCATCTTTGGGGTACTATATTCCCTTTTTATGGTGACATATTAAGGTTTTTATATTTCAGATACTAACAATAGACACATTACTGTAAAGATAAAATTAACTATATTTTTGTATGTCTACCTCCCTACCCCCTTTTGTCCCCATTATCAGGTGATGCTTTTCCTTGGACTATCAGTTTGCATCATTTCAGCATTTATACCCTCTTTGGAAAACAGCTGACACTTTGCCTCGTGGAACCTATGGGTTGTACCTCTACTCTAGCTGTTACATCTCAAAAACTACTCGCTACAGGACCTGATACGAGGCATTCATTTGTTGTCTGTCTGCATGTTGACCTAGAGTCACTTGAGATAAAATGCTCGAACCCCCAGGTTGGTACATTTGATTTATGAAAGGAAATTTAAAATAATGTGATTTAAGAACAATTGTTATCCATTTTGTTGAAGAGTTTCTCTTCTATTAAGCATCCTAAATTATTTTTAACAGGGCCATCAAAATCAGAATGGTTAGATTAAGTATTGCTTTGAAGTTCTCTCAAGTTTTGTAATTTAAACTCTTCTGAAAATGTAACAGTGGCAGCATAAATGCATCTATTGGCTGATGGAATGAAATCAGTTGCAGATGTAGTTTTAAATGGTGAAGAACTACTTTACTGTCAGACTGGAAGAGTCTGTCAAAGTGATCAAATATAATTTTCAATCAGATTCTCACTCAGAACTTCTTTTGCCCAACACATTAAAAAAAAAAAAAGAAAAGAAAAGCACTGATTACTTTTGTGAAAACGCCTTTTGTTAATCTTACAACATTTCAGTTGATATAGGCCAAAGCGTTGTATTCTATAGTTTGATAATTTAGTATAAATTCACATCTTCTGGGTTTATACAAATTATTAATTGCGTACAATTTAATGCTTGTTTCTTTGACCTCAAGCAGATTGTGCTATGTTTTCTACATAGATTGTCAATGTATGAAGTTGTATTTGAAGTTATATTTTTATAAACAGTATTTTCTAGAACCTCATTGGATCTGACAGGTCACTGTGATAAATCTTTGTTTATCTCAGCATTAGTGGTTTCAAACCAGTGTTTAAAGTGTGTTTCTTAAAGTGAGTTCAAATATTATTCCACATTTTATAGTGCCTCCTTTACTGATACCATCCTCTTTCTTTCTCCTCTTTTCTCTGCCTCTCTCCACCTACTGTATACTACACAGTTTAATTTAATTTTTACATATATTTGTGCATTTTGCTAATATCTTAGTGGTGGATGACCTTATTATAAAAATACATAAATTATTTTGAGACAGTTGTATTAAATGAACATTATTGTAAAATAAAAGCTTGTCCACTATTATAAAAATAATTTCTTTTCTAACCAGTGGTAAATTATTTTGAATAATATTAAATAATCTAGTTTAATGGCCATTTGCCATTCTATGATGATCCATAGTGATATAGAAGAGAATAATTATGAAATGACTTGCCCTCTCTTAGATTATTCTTTGAATTCTGCTGTTGATGATTGCTGAAAAACATTTCCAAGAGGAAGGGAAACTGTTACAGGTTGAATTGTGCCCCCCCCCACCAAAAAGATATGTTGAATTCCTAACCTCTAGTATCTCATAATGTGACCTTATCTGTTAATAGGATTATTATAGAGGCAATCAAGTTTTAAAATGAAGTCATTAGGGTGAGCCTTCATCCAAAACGACTAATGAAAGGGACATTTAGAGGTAGATGCACACAGAGGGAAGTTAATAGGAAGACACACAGGGAGAGTGCCATGTGCAGTTAGAGGCAGATGCTGGACTATCCAGCTGTGAGCTGAAGAACACAAGGATTGTTGGCCGCCCCAGGGAGAAGATGAAAGGCAATGAAGGATTCTACTCACAATCCCCGAGGGAGCGTGGCCCTGCTGATATGTGGATTTAGGGACTTGATCATCTCCAGAACTTTGAAACTATCATTTCTGTTCTTGTAAACCACCCAATCTGTGATACTTTTGTATGGCAGCTCTCACAAACAGATTGTAGAGAAACGGATTCACCTGCTTTAGATCCTTAATCACAGAAAAAGGGGGAAAAAAAGATTTAATTCTATCATAGCATCAGAGGCCAACCTCAGCCCCTCCCACTGATTAAAACTAACAAAAAAGCAAAAACTAACAACATAAATGAATGTTCCCAACTTGTTTTTTATATAATTCAATTCTAAAAAAGACTTTAAGGCAGCTATTATACTTTTTTTTCATGAGTTATAAAATAAAGCACGCTGAATGAGAAAGGTAAGAATTTTCAATGGAGAAATAAAATATAAAGACAATCCAGTGGAATTTCAGAATTCAAAATATAGAACCTGAAAGAAAAAACCAGGGTGTATGGGCTTAGAAGTGCATATGATAGAAGAGTCATTGAACTTGAATATAGGGCATAGAAATTATTGAATTTGAAAAACAGAAAAAAAGACATTTAAAAAAGGACCAAAGCTTCAGTGGTTATGGGATAAAGTGTCCAAATATATATGTAATTGGAATTCCAGAAGGTAGGGAGAAAAAGCTTGGGGCAGAAAAATGTGAAAAAAATAATTGTACAGAGTTTCCAAATTTGCAGAAGAAGATAGGCTTTTACATATTGAAGCAGTTCACCTAGTCCTAAGCATGTATATCTTTGAGGATAAAGTCAAAGATCAAGAAAAAGCCTGGAATGCCTGCTTTCATCATGTATTTCATTTCATACTGGCCATCCTAGCCATTATAGTTACTCAAGCAAAAGAAATAATAGATATAAAGATAAGAAAAGAAGTAAAACTCTCTATTTTCATATGATCAAATATTTTATAGAAAACCCCTGAGGAATTAAAAACCTATTACTAGAACTAATAAGCATATTATGATTGCAGGAGACAAGATTAATGTATAAAACCTAATTGTATTTTTATGTACTAGCAGCCACCAATTTGAAAATGGAATGAAATCAGTTTCATTCATATTGGTGCCGAAAAAAAACCCGACAAATGAATCTCTTAAAAAGATGTGCAAGACCTCTACCCTGAAAACCACAAAACATTGCTGAGAGAACTTGAACATCTAGTTGGAGAGAGATACTTGCTCCCAGATTGGAAGACTCAATATTGTTAAGATGGCAGCTCTCCCCAAATTGATCAAAAATTGGACATAACCAAGTTTAAAAGTGTTTTCTCTTTAGAAGACACAGTAAGATAGAAATGAAAGCCAGACACTTGGAAGAAATTTATCAAACTGTTATCCAGAATATTTAAGGAATCCTTTCTACTTGATAACATGAAGGAAAAGAACAATAAATAAAATAACATGAATGCAAATAAAGGGAAAAAGATTTGAACACAAGATATATGACTGGTCAATGAGCACAAGATGCTCAACATCATTATTCGTCAGGGAAAAACAAAATAAAACATAAGGACGTATCACTACACACCTATTAGATTGACTAAAGTTCAAAAGATGGGATATTGTGAACCAGCTAGAACTCTTTGTATACTGCTGATGGGAATTTAAAAATTGTATAACAACTTTGGAAACAACTTGAGAATTCCTGAACAGGGACAGCATGTACTTACCCTACGGCTCAGCCATTCCTCCCTAAGTATTTCCTCAGAGAAACAAAAATGTATGTCCACACAGAGACTTTTACATGAATGTATTTAGCAGTTTTATTTATATAGACAAAAGCCAAACATAACCCAAATGTTCATCAGTAAGTGAATACTTAGACAAATGATTGCCTATCCATACAATGTAATACTATTCAGCCATAAAAAAGACTGAATTATTGATAGAATGAAACATCATGGATGAATATTGCAATCATTACACTGAGTGATGGAAACCAGACAAAAAAGACTACTTACTGTATAATTCCATTCATATAAAATGTTGTAATCTTTAAACTACTACATCGTGACAGAAAGCAGGTTCCTTGTTGTCTGGAGGCAAGGCAGCGAGAGGGAAGGAGAGAGTGATAGGAAGGGTAGATTACAAAGGAATATGAAGAAAGTTTTTGCAATAACAGAAAAAATATTTCTATTCATAGTTTATACTTAGTAATAGCTCAATCCCTGCATCATAGATAGCTAACTGCCACTTGGAGTTGTCTAGCAGGAACCTTTTATTTTAAGGACTTATTTTAGGGATCATTATAGCCTTGGAAGGATTGCCCTACTCCACATGGTCTGGTTGTCCATAGCTCTCTCAGCTGAGAATAAATTCTGTTCCCATTGTTGTTCTAGCCTGGGCTCCATTATTATTAATCTTAAAACATTTTTTTTTCTTTTACTTTGACGTCCTCAATGGTATTGTGATTTCTATGGATTCTTATTATATGTAATACTGTTGGTCAAAACTGGAGCTCTGGGATATAGTCTTTAGAATTTTACCTTGTTTGTTGTTGAAGTATATACCAGTTTTAAGCTAAGTCATCACATAGGTCGAGCCTATGGCCTGATATTTCCTTCTTAAGTCTTATCCCTCCTTTTGTTCTTTCTTCTGTCACTGGCTCCCAGGGCCTCCTTGCTGCAGTTCCCCAACTACTAACAAGGATCTTTTTTGGATTTTTTGTTTGTTTGAGAATTAAACCAAGGCTGAATGAACTTCATACCCTGAGAATCCTTTTACACTCAGAAAGCAATAATTTTTTTTTTATCTTCTTGATAAGTCCTGATAAACCAGCCTCTGTTAAATTGTTACCAACTGCTATATCCAAAGTTGATCACAAGGTTATTGGGAAGTTTTAAGTGAGGTAATTTATGAAAGTAGTTTGCAAACTCTGATATGCAATCTGAATGTCGTTTTGTCAGTTTAGGTTGACTCTGATATAAAATGCAAGACCCTCTACCTATGTAAATTGGTATGAATATCCTCAGTAGAATGTAGCAATATTCCTGAAGGGACAGGAAGCCACAGAACAAAATAACACTTTGAAGGATCAACATGTACTCAAATATTTAGTAAGAAGTAAATACTCTCATATCCTTGTGTGCTAGATTGACCTACATTTTAATGGTAAAACATGAGACTTCAAATAAACCACTTTTTTTTTTTTTTTTTTTTTGTGAATGGTTGCTTTAGCCTGTGCTTCCAGACTCCCTCTGGATTCTGTCAGAATTACAAAGGATGACTTGATTTTTTTTTTTTTCCCTAAGTGAATTCAGCAGATATTTATTGAGTACCACATATAAACCAGAAATGAGGGGGAAAAGATGAATAAGATAAACACATGAAGAAGGCCATGCCTACACACATCATAATTCAGCTGTTGAAAGCCACAGATAAAGAGCAAGTCTTGAAGGTATCATGAGAAAAATGACACATTACATACAAGAGAATCAAGATTTTATTGTTAGCTTGCTTCTCATAAGAAACTATAGAGGTCAGAAGAGCAACATCTTTAAATTGTGGAAATTAAAAAAGAAAAAAAAAAAGAAGCCGCTCAACCCAGAATTCTAAATAAAAAATATATAACATTTATGAATGAAGACCAAATAAAGACATTTTCACATAGAAGAATCTATCACCGGTAGAACTGCACTACAAGAAATTCTAAAGGAAATCCTTCATGCTGAGGGGAAATGAAACCAGATGCTTGAGCAACTTTTCAAGTGTTTATTGGCCATTGAGTTTGCTCTTTTGTGAGTTGACAATCCATTTGTTTACATTAATTTGTATTTTCCTGATTAGGAATAAGGATGAGCCTACTTTCAATGTTTTTTGACCAGTGAATTTGCTCTTTTATGAGTTGATATATCATTTACCTAATTTTTCTGTTAAATTTCTTAGCAATTTGAAGAGCTTCCCTTATATTCTATAAATACAGACCCTGTATCTGTAATGTAGTTATTTGCCTTTAAAGTTTATGGAATCTTTTGCCAAAATGTTGAATCTTTCTTAGTGATACATATCTATGTGTCTTTTTACATTTTCTGGGTGCCCTGCCTTATAAAAAGTATTGTGGGCCCCTATAATACAAATATCCACGTGCATATAGGATCCTAAAATTTCTTTTACTGTTTTTATTATTTTCTTTTAAGATTAATGACTCAAAATAAACCTTTTCTGTATGTGTGAGTGATTGCTCACTAATTCATCTTGGTTTTGTTTGTTTGTTTTTTGAAAGTACTTCTTGTTCTTTTTTGTGCCATAGACTTCTTCAAGAATCTTATAATAGCCTTTTCCCCAGAACAATGTATATACCCACTAAATTTTAATATACTGTCAGAATCTTTGTGCACTTCCGATTATAGCGAGTATATAAGCGTCTTGATTCCATTCAAGTACTTCCTACTTAAATACCATTCTTTTGTTTATGCATTAGAGTGACATCAGAAGTGTTAACACTTGTCCATGAATTAATGTTTCATTATTGCTTAATGCCCTCAACTAATTTCTTCTACTTTAAAATACAGTGCAAGCTCTATATGTAGGGCAGGCCCAGAGCAAGTTCATTTTCATGTTCGACATTGTTGTAAATCTCTGTACCAACTACAGAGACCTAAACTACTGTGTCAGTTCTTAGAGTTCATTGCCATTCAAGGCCTTAGACACTATAAATATTTAACCTGGTTGGATATTCAGAGAATTTGTAGCCAGGAGTGATTTCCATCAACCTTGCTTTCATCTTAAGTGTTTTGCCAAAGTTACCCAGTTCCCTTTGTCTTCAGACACTAGTTTCTCAGACGTTAAAAATTGTGTTTATTCCAAAATTAAATGAGCCTGGGGGATCCTCTAATAAAATTGCAATTTCCCCTCAGCCAATAAATAGATACATTTTGTTTTCCTATAAGACATCCCAGGAACATAAAACTATCTTTTCATTTTTGAGTTTTTTGTATGTGAAACTAGAGAAAGGATGGATTTCATGCTCCTTTCCTGTCCATTTATTCATAGCTTTTATTGTTATAAGTTATGTTTAATTTTTACCTAGGCAGTGGAATTTGGCTTTAGTCTAAGAACACAAGCATTGTGTTCAGACAAAACCAGATTTGTGTTCTTCCACTATTCACTCATTTTTAATTTCTCTGAGCTCCTCATTTCCATTTTTATCTCTTAAAATTAGACTAAATGTAATGTCCTACATAAAAAGGGTTTTTTCAAAAAAACGCTTTCTTTTGCAACTGAATTTTAATGATTAGTAAACAACCTGCATACCAAATAAATTAGACTTTGTAAATTCACATTCTCTTGGAACTCTTTGTTATTCAACATGGATGAGTAATTGTTTTTTGAAATTCTGTTCCTGCTTGGTTTCCATTGACATTGTATATCTAATGTTTTTTCTTCTTCCTGTCTACCTTTATGTTCCTTTATGTTCACTCCTCTATCTGACTTTCCTAATACACTGCCAAACTTTTCATGGGCCTACATCATGTCTCGATCATTTTCTGCACTTGGCTATTGCTCTTGCTATTCTTATGACTGGAATGGCTTTCTGCACCCATTTAAATCCTATTTATCTTTCAAGAATGTATCTCCTTGAGGTTTTTCTCCACTTCACCAGTCCAATTAAGTCTCCTTTCTGATTGGATTTGGTTAAATGAGAAAAAGTATGTGCAGTTAATTTTTAAACAATAAAACATTTATATTCAATCAGTATTTGATATTTAAGATACTATTGATATTCATTCACCTCCATACATAACCCACAGAAAGCTACCTCACATAGAGCTCATTTTTTAGAGATTTTTAAAAAGTTTTTTGGGAGTAAAAACGTAAATGCAATAAGCTACACATGTTTAAATTATATATTTGATAAAGCTTGGCATATATATTCCCATGAAGTCATCTTTACAATCAAGATAATGACAAATCCATCATCCTCAAAACTTTCTTTGTACCTCTTCGTAATCCTGTCTTTCACTCCTCCCCCCAATCCCAGGCAACCACTGACACTGTCATTATAGGATTTGCTAGGATTCCATATAAATGGAATCATACAGTTGTATTCTCTCTCTCTCTCACCTAGCTTCTTTCAGTCAGCATAATAATTTTGAGATTAATCCATATTTTTCCATGAATCCAAGTTTATTTCTTTTTATTGGTAAGTATTCTGTTGTATGGATATTCTAAAAATCATTCACCTACTTATTGGTTACCATTTGAGATTTTTTTTTTTCCAGTTTTAGACTATTACAGCTAAAACTGCTGTGAACATTTGTATTCAGGTCTCTGGACAAAGACTTTAATTTTTCTTGGGGAAACACTTAGGAAATGGCTCAATCATATAGTACATGTATCTCTTTTGGAAACTGTGAAACTGTAGTGTAAATTTTACATTCTCTTAGCAGAGAATTTTAGCTGCTCTATATCCTCACCAATACTTAGTTTAGTTATGCTTTTTAATTTCAGATGTCTTAATGGCTAGTTGATAGTAGCTCATTGTGGCTCTATTTGGCATAGTTTTCAGTACAGCTTGAAGGATAAGAGTTGAACATTTATCTTCTTAACTTTTTGCCTTTTTTGAAAACTCTGAATTTGGAAAGTCTGAATTCTGTGATATAAATAAAAATAAATATTTTGAAAATAAAAATATATTTTAAGTTTATGTCAGTGTTTGCTTGGTATGCTAAATGCACAATGTACTTGGTGACATTCATATATAATTCTTTTATGATACCAGTTGAAATCAGGAGTAGTGACAATAAAAGCAGCATTGTTTTAACTAAATAAAACTTATGTCCTTAAAACTATTTAGAAGTATTTATGCTTTCCTTATTTGTCAGTTCTAATTGTTTACCAAAAAGTAAAAATCTTTTTTAAAATTTTGATTTGCAACAAAATGGTTTCTTTTTCAGAGATTTATGCATTATCTTATTTAATGGCCAAAAAGGACAAAAGAATTTGAACTAAAATTTCTCTCATAAGGTTTTTATAGGATTTCTAGCCATTAACTTATTATTTTAACAAAAAGAGCTATAACCTGAGATTTGAGACTTCATCACACAAAAAACAGGAGAAACTGTAACCATGTACTGTTTTATATCAAATAAGGATTGACAAGAGTGTTTTTAGGCATCTGTTCTGCCCACATAAGAAGGCAGCTTTATCATCTGGATATGTCCTGCGGCTGAAACTTCTTATAAATATGAGAATTTCTTTCTTTCTTTCTTTTTTTTTAATGGCAAGCAGAATATGGTATCCAGCTGTGGATTTGCTTATATATTGTGTTTGCATTTTTTTCCTAGGCTTCTTTTATACAGTATATGGCAATATGTTGTCATACAAATTCCATGATTAATGCTTATTTATGAAATCTTATGTAAATATCTTACAACTTAGTCAAACAACGTGCAAGTTAAACAGTTTTTTCTCTGAATATTGGATGACAAATCTGGGGGGAATAGTAGGTTGGATAGTTTATGTTCTTTATCTATAGAAAAGTTTCATATGTAACATTTTCCTTTTACTGTTCTATGTTATATCATTCTTTTTTACTTTATTTTGCTGCACAAGAAATCCAATTTCAGATTTATTCCTCAGAAAATAGAGAAAATTTAAATGCAGAAATAATTTAGAAATAAGAATGGTGATTATTTCATGTATAAATAGTCATATTCTAGGATTTATTTGATTTCTAATTTTGATCTTGACCTCTGTTTAGGTGGCATTTCTTTGTGTTTGTTCTATTAGTTTTGTATTAAAAGAAATCCTCTGTCCCATAATAAGCTGTTTTATTAGCATTATTACCATCTTAGCAATATTTTCTCCCAAAATGCTAAATTGCTTATAAAATATTACAGTTTGGATATATGGCAAATTTTAAGTGTAAATAAGTTCATTATATCTGTCTCAAATTCAATTCATGATAAAATGTTTAATATTATACATTTTTATATGAATTCTTTTTCTCTATATATCTCATCAAAATTACGGTGTCATGACAAAATGATCATATATATGATAAATACAGTGCATATAATATATAATAGATTATAGGTCAGGATATAATGTCATGATCAGTGATACACTGATAGATTTTTGTTTCATATATTCTTGTTTCCCTGGACTTGTTTTAATTTTCTCACGTTTAATTAGTATTTTGGTCAATTGTGACTAGAAGTTGAAAGACTTGTTCTTTTTTTTACCCTTCTACTCAGGTGCAGCTCTTGTACGAGCTAGCTGATATCATGAATAAAGTCTGGAATAAGATTCAGAAGAGAGGCAATCCCAGCCCTTCTTCAGCTTACCCGGAGGCCGTGGCAGGGCCTGTGCCTGGTTCCCCAGTTAGGAGCAGCATAGGCACAGCTCCTCCGGACACCAGCACGTGCAGCCCGTCTGCTGACATTGGGACTACTACTGAGGTCAGTGTTTCTGAAAAATCCCGTTACTAAGTGAAGGGTGATGTGTAGCTCACAGTTCCGTCTCAGGGCTGAGAATGAAGATGGCCTCACCTCTGTGGCAGCCGGCAGGGTCACGGGGCTCCTGAGGAGCTGTGGTAGCAGTGGCCGTGTGGCACGGTTTCTTTTAGATCCAAGTATTTTAATCACTTTCAGTAGGAAGTGAAGTAGCTCATGACAGTGGGCGTTCTGTGAAATGGCAAAAGCTGAGGCACAGGAAATGTGGTTCCTCAGAAGTATGGAAACTTAGAAGCTGAGTGCAAAAGGGGCTCATGCTCCCCGCTCCTCTTCCCTCTCTGCCTTGTTTTTGTTACCTTGTAGTTTTCAAGTTTGTCAGACCCAAAGTTCTCTCCTCCTTCCTTCTGATCATAAAAGCCTTTCTTTTCATTTTTTAATACCGTAACCTCACCCAGTATGCCAGTGCCCTTTTTTATGACAAATATTTTATAATGCCCCCTTTACTATCCTGAAATGAAAATAAAAAATAATATAACCTTTTTATATATATAATTATATATTATATATATAATTATTATATATATAATTTCAAAATTTTCTGATATCTTGAATAAAGTGGAAAGGATTAAAAGAAAGTAATTTAAGGTACAGTAATATATATTTCAATATAAAAATGCTCAGGCATGGCTACATAGAAGACATAATGAAGTAGCCAGGTATATGCAATTACTATGAATGCGACTGATACAGATAGACTTGTTCAGGCCTGTGTTAAATACCACAAGTTGATGATGTGATTTTCTGAAGTGATAGCAAACTTGGTAAAGTTTTGAACAAAACAAAGTTTATTCTCCCTCTTATTTCCGTAGTCGCATTTCTAGAACTCTTTGTATGTGAGAAGATCATGCAGAAATGCAAAAAAAAAAAGTGTTTACATTTAAAACAGAATCCAATTTGATGCCCATATGTTTGTTTATAAATAGGATTTCACCTACTTCAATGCCTGAGAGATAGGCTTCATTTTTCAAGATTGTCCTGTTCATCACAGGACCTCTTGATACCCTAACTGGTAACTCTTAAATGCCAGTAGTAACATTGAATTATCAGTCAGCCAGAAACATCCTAATACATTTTCAAAACACTGCCTAGTGGCCTGAACTCTAACCCCCGAGAACTACTGTCATAGATGGAGGTAGTTTTCCTTTTTGTGTAAACACGTGTTGAAGTAGATCTGTTTGACCCCTGCACAAGCAATTTCTCTGTCTCTGCTTATTCCCAATCTTAAGAAACTCAGTGACCTAAGTGATAGGTTTACTTTTTGTTTTCCCTTCAAATGAAAATCTAGAAATATTCCCTTTTGAAGTCAGTAAGGCATATCCTTTTAGGGTAAAAACAATGAATTCTTTCTGGAGATTCCTAATGTTCTTAGAATAATATATAGGCTCCTGCAGTAAAGAAAACTTTTTAACTTTATTGAATGTAGTAGTGTCCAAACATATTTAACCAAAGACCCCTTTTTCATACACTATATGTTAACATTGCACAAAATACACGTAGTAAAATACTTTGGTAGAGTAATCAAAGCTCAGGGTGTTAAAGTGCTAGACAAGGCTAGTACAAGTGAAATTATGAATTAAGTTAAATCTTCTGGATGTTTCCGTGGCAGGAGGGAGAGTGTTCCACTAAACAGTTCTTGGCTAAGTATTGTATTAATTGTGATGGTAATATGAACATGACTGCCTATCTTGGGAGTGGTCTTTTAGAAAGAGTTACTTAAAAAACACTGCAGGTCCAGAAAAGACAGGGCTCCAACAGGAATGATCATACCTGTTGGTCATACATCTAGGGACTGCCATTCACACAAAGTACAGTTTGAGTGGTGCTCTACAAATTATAAAGAGGACATGGTGACCATGATATAAGATGTAATAGAGATAATCATACTCTGCAATTATAGAGAAATGATTTCAAATTCAGTCTACAGAGGTATTTTGCAGAGGAAGTAACATTTGAAATGGATCTTAAGAAATGTGTAAGACATTGGTAATAGTTTTGCTTTAGTAGGTATATAATAAATAGAGTAGACTGGAAGAATGATGTCTTCATTAGCGAAAGGAAGAGATTAACAAAGGGAGAGGATTTTCTCAATCACTTAATTCTGCTTTTAATAATAAGTTCCTTCTATGACTGCAACTAATTTAAAATTGGAACGTTGAGAATTTTTTCTAATTGGATTATAGAAATAAATGATAACGTTTCTAGTGGATTTGTTAGTTTTTTGTCAACTATGGATTTAATCTGATCTGATTTAAAAAGATCTGAAAATGAAAGAATCTTAATGCAAAAGATTCACATTAATATTCAAGAGAGACCATGTAAAGCAGCTTACAAAAGGTAACAAGAGTTATGGGGGGAAATGTGGTAAATAGTTTCAAAATGTACCCACTTTGTTTACATAGTGTGGGCAAGAAAAGAAGTGAGTGATGACTAGTAGTTCGATATGGATTTGAAACTCACAGTCACTTGGGAACCTTGTTCCCTGAGAAGTATCTTAAAGTAATTTCACTGGTTTGTTTTCTGTAAGGAGCAAGAAGATTTTTGTGAAGACTGTTATGATATGATAGTCAACGTTAAGGCTTGGATTTAACTTTACAACTTAGAAGGAGGTGTTCATATATTGAATATTTCATGTATAATTTGTCTGCTTGCTCTCAAGAAAATAATTATGTGGAGATCAAGATTAACTATGTATTCATCTGAGTTGAAATTAACCTCTTTGAGAATTAGTAAATGATGGCATCAGAAAACATAGTCACTGTCTTCTCCTTTGTGTGTGATTGCTTCATCTGTGACTAAATCTGTGGTTGTTTAGTTGTTGCAGAATTCAGAATTTGTGCCCAGACTTTGATTTCTCATTTTCTTTTGTTTATAGTGCTGCTAGAACTGTGGGTAATGACCTTTGTAATTCTCATTCTTTTTATTTTGAGTTCTAACATGGTAGATATGTTACTATGATCCTTTGAATTCCATTTTAAAATGTTCTGTAACTTTGGTGAATTTGCCTATATATTTAAATTTTTACTTGACTGAATGGTGATACAACCCTGTTCTCTCACTAGAGAAACTATTTAATGAATGGTGCTAAGGAAGACAATGTGGAGAGACACACATATATTTTCTTTTAATCTGTTCAGAAGCCTTTATGACTTTTCAGACCTGGCATCCCTGGCCTCCCTTTGCTTCTCTTGCTAATCATTGTCCTAGTAATCTTGTGATTATAAGACACTCTCTGGATAATAGCATCATGTAAGCAACAGTACTCTCTATATACAGATTTACATATACTGTATCTATTTTGTGGTTAATTGTAGCAGTAACTTCCCTACCCTTTTCATGACATTGCATAGATAGAAAATGATATTTCTACCTGGAGTAATCAGGAGAAGCTCTAAGTCATTGAGAGCTTGATTCACCCCAGCCCTTCCCCACAAACTCTGAGGGCCATGAGACCTGTGTCTCAGCATAGACATGCCCATGGTGTCACAGCACACTAGTTAGGAAGTTCTGAGTGATAGTATTTCTTTGATAAATATATTCCTAACACTTTTGTTACTGCCGCAGTAAAAGGTGTTGATGTTGATGGATTTAAGTAAAATTGCTTCTCCTGCCTCCCCCAAGTTTTAACAAAATAGCATTATAACAGCATAGGGCTGCTGTGGTATACTGTGTCCTTAGTGTGACAGTCTTCTTCATGCAGCCAGGGCTAAGAAGAAAATGAAAAGTTTTTCGAGTATCCACTAAACTGAGCACCTTATAAGCATAATCTCTTTTAATTTTCAAACCCATATTATGAGGTTGGTAGTATTACTTACCTTTTACAGTGAAGAATTTGTGGCTCCTGAGGTTGAGTGATTTGTTTGAGATCATACAGATAAGTGGCAAGGCTGAAATGAAAACTTTTGCATTGTGACTTTAGAGTCCCTAAGATGTATTATCATATGAATTCTAGGACTTAATCCATTGGTAAATCTTCCTTTTTAAAGTAAACTGTTGCCACCAAGTGCAGATGTGTTTTTTCTCCTTTGTCCTGCTCAACACTTGAGTTTTGTGGAATAGTTCTCTTCAATTCTAAAACACTCATTGTCACTTGACAAAATACTTCTACATTCTCCTTAGTTTCTCTTTCTAGAACTTCTCATATTCCCTCTCCAAGTCTTTGAACCACTGTTTGTTTTTTGTTTGCATTTTTATTTTGTTTTTTCTTTTCTGTTTTCCCCCTTTTTCCCCTACTCTTTTAGCTCTTTGTGTTTTCTCTCTAGGGCATTTTTTCTCAATTCCTTTTTTTTTTTAATTCCCTTTGGTAAATGCCCTTTTAGCTATTTCTTATCCATTTGGTTTAGTCAGTGGGTGATACAGACAGGAGATCGGAGGGTAATAGAAGTGAGAGGTTGGTGGTTTTTGTTCCTTGTTCCTGCCCCACTTTGGTGCCCCATATGGAAACCATTCATGACATTTCTTCAGTCTGGGAAGCCTCGTGTGGATTGTCTGTTTTTACTGAAGAAGCAGCTCTTTTTGGTGTGAGGCTTTATGCAAATGGCTCCAACTCAGACTCTTAGCTTTTTCCAGTCCCTGAAGGAGTGTTAAAATGGCATTGCTTAAACCCCTAGACCTTTCCCTTTACCTGAGTTTGAGACTTCCATTTACCACCATAGACTCAGTTCCCAGTCATTACCCTGACTTTGTGTTTCCTCTTCATTTCTGACATCTTGAGATTTGCCTCTTCTTATTTCAAGTTTGGCTGTTATATTAGTTAGAAAAAGATGGCATTCTCAAATTGAGCAGTTTTAAGAGAGTTTAATAAAAAGACAAAGGTGTCCCAGTTAATTTTTTTATGTCAGTTCTTCTATTGTGGTAAAACATACAGAACATAAAATTTCCATTTTAACCATTTTTAAGTGTACCATTCTGTGGCATTAAGTACATTTACATCACCATCAACCATCTTC